CTTTTTTTGGATTTCAGATACCAGGAAGTCGGACTGTACTGTTGAAGTCGTCATTGATGCCGGTAAATGAGTTTTTTTCGTTTAGTTTTTATGAATTCATGGGCAGATGAGCGAGAGGACTAGTTTCAATTGAGAGTTTTACTTGTTAGTCAGCTGTACTGTCGTTGTTGATTAGGTAGCGTTCGGAAATTTGGGGGTTGTTATGATGATTTGGCCGGAAATATAACCGTTACAATGAGATTCACCAAATTTTTGGTGATGTCGTGGTAATCTTCTTTTTTTTAGCCAGTACTGGGGAAAGGAATTGACATTTTACATAAATTTTTATAGTGTTGAAAGCTAACAGTGACATCTTATTAGAGTGATGTTGTGGACTTCGGATTATTAGTGAGAGTAAGGAGTGTGGAAAATCTAATCTTTGAGTCGGTTTGTTGGCCAGGAATTATTCACTACCAAAAATGTAATGACAGTGGGTTTATAGTGAATTTGCTAAAGGTGTGAGCGGAAAAGAGAAAATGCAGAAGCCACCATTTGCTGTAAACGGCTAGTGCAGTTTGGTGGCAAAGAAGAAAAAGTGATCAGAAAAGGGAGTTTTGACAGTAACATATAAAATGTATAAAAGTTTAGCTGATTTTTCATTTTGCAATTTGGTCAAGTCAAACATGGCTGAAAAACGTCAATGGAGTTTTATTTTTGAGGCTTATCATTCCAAGTTTACCAATGTAAGCAATCAAGTGGGCAACATGGCAGTTCTGCCGCTTCGGACAAATTTTAAGGGACCTGCTCCAAAGTCAAGTAAGTACTTTTGACTTCACATTACAGGTGTACGAATTTCTATGATTATTTAACAAAAATCTTTCCTTTAGGCGTGTTCGTGTATCGATTATTCAAGAGCTGAGTTCCGTATGGAAAACAAAATTAGAAATTGAGCCGTTATTTTGTACAAAACTTTTCCTTTGCAGACGAAGATGATGTAATTGATGAAGCAATATCGTTTTTCAAACCAAATATCTTTTTTCGCGAGTACGAAATTAGGGGACCAGCCGATCGTACGCTTATTTATTTGACTTTTTATATCACAGAATGCCTTAAAAAGTTAACGAAGGTAAGTCATCCATCTTATTTGTTTGAATTTTTGGTTTTTTTGCGCTGCTTATCAGCCTCTGCGTTTTGCTTTCAATAAAGAATAATTCAAGGTGTTGTTTTAAGTCAGTGGTAAATTTTCTTATCAGTGTTTTCCATACTGTTTGATAATGTTTTGTGAACTTACGATAGTTTAAACTGTTGACAGGTGTTACATTTTTTTCATCCTGTTACAGAGTTTTTTGTAAGTAAATAAAAAAGAGAAAATTTCAGAGTCCGAACAAGACTCAGGGCCAAAAAGATTTAGCCGCACTAGCACTTAGTCAACATCTCCCAATTCCCGGCGAAGCGAATTTCCCATTAAACGCGTTATATAAAGCCCCTGCAAACAAGAATGAAGAAGGTGGGTATTGCTTTCAAAACAGCTGTTTCTGTTTCAGTCGGTTTCAAGATAAAGTTTGTAAATTTTGCTGCCAAAATTTTTCATTCATTTCTGAAATAAATTTATATTTCGCTTTAAGTTTAAGAGCATTGATTGTTTTTGTAGAAAACATGCGAGCATATCTTCAACAGCTTCGACAAGAATTAGGTAATCGATTGGTGGAAAAAGTGTTTGATGGAAAAACTGACAAGGCTTCGAAGGTAAAAGTTTATGCGATTCTTGAATCGTCTTCGTCTTTTTTTTTGTAAGAATTTTTTTGACATAGTCTTCATATGCTCTCCTTTAA